TTTTGTCAAAATTTTGAGGTTTTGGTTTTTGCTCTCCCTGAACTAGTGGTTTTCGAAGTGATGCTTATGTGTGTCAGTGTGTGTATGTGTACGAGCCACAGACCACACCTGTGGACGAATTTTGATGAAATTTGATATGTGGGTACCAAGCCATGGTATCTATGGTAGATAGGTGCTTTTTCAATTATTATAAATTAACATTTTTAATGGTAATTTTTCCATAAAATAAAAGAAAATTGAATGTAAAGAACTTTGCCGAACAATTTTTATTTAAATTTAAAATGTTATGGTCCTAATGGTTCTAGACGATGCAATACAACCCCCATTGCTGTACAAATTACGGTTCAAAAGTTATTGAAACCTTTGTGATTTTCCCCATAAAATATCATAGTTACTCCAAGCTTACCCATGAAAAAGGTTGTTGACAAGCTAAGTGGAGAAAGTATATGTCAGATTACTGATACCGTTTCTAAATACTATACAGCCGCATGTGTAACTAAGGGATACAAATTCTAGACCACTTCTAGATGAGCTAGAGACTTGAAATTTTCGGCGTTTTGTAAGTCTAGTGCCCAAACCCCCGGGTAAAATCCGAAAAGTCGCATTTTCTAAATTTAACCCCCCCGAAATTTCGAATTCCCCCCCCCATGTTATTCTTATGGGAAATAACATTGAAAAATACCGAATTTGGTACGCTCATCTGAACAACTTAGAAACGTGCTAGAGACTTCAAATTTGCGTAGTATTGTAGTAAGAGGTCTTACAATACCGGTGGAATATGCAAAAGTCCCATTTTCAAATTTTAACCCCCCCAAAAATCCAAAATGGCGGACCTCTGAAAACGACAAAAACACTTTTTTTTTCAACCGGATGTAGCTCGAAAACGGTAAAAGATAGAAAAGATTTGAAAGTATATCCAGGAACAGGAATTAAATTTTATACAAAACCCTTTTGAGCGTTTTCCGAAAATCGCACTCCTTCACCTTTAAAAAACGCCCTACTTTCAAAATTTGGTAAATTTTTATTACATTTTTACAGGTTTTCGCCATGTTTTCATACTTAAAATAATTTTTTTTTCAAAAACTAGTATTGCTTTGTATTCTCCTTACTTTACTTTAAATTTTACTTATCACATGTTTTTTCGTAACTTTACTCCTTGACCCCCAAAACTTAATTTTAATCTCAAAATTTGAAGGTTTTTGCCACTTTTACGAGGCCCGTGTTATTCTTATGGAGAATAAGATTGAAATATAATGACTTTGGTATGGTCATATGAATCGTTTAGAAATGTGCTAGAGACTTGTAATTTGGTAGTATTGTAGTAAGGGATCATAAGCTAATGTTGAAATTTTCAAAAGTCCTATTTTCAAATTTTAACCCCCCCAAAAATCCAAAATGGCGGACCTCTGAAAACGATAAAACACGTTTTTTTCAAACGAATTTAGCTCGAAAACAGTAAGAGCTAGAAAAGATTTGAAAGTATATCCAGGAACAGGAATTAAATTTTCTACAAAACCCTTTTGGATGTTTTCCGAAAATCGCACTCTTTCGGGTTCAAAAAACTCCCTACTTTCAAAATTTGGTAAATTTATTTCAACTTTTTACCGGTTTTCGCTATTTTTTCATACTTAAATCATTCCTTTTTGCAAATATTATTATTGCTTTGTATTCTCCTTACTTTAGTTTAAATTTTACACAATACGTCTTTTTTCGTAACTTTACTCCTTAACCCCCAAAACTTAGGTTTAATGTCAACATTTGAAGGTTTTTTACCACTTTTAAGAGCCCCATGTTATTCTTATGGAGAATAACATTGAAAAATGCCGACTTTAGTATGCTCATCTGAACCAATTAGAAACGTGCTAGAGACTTGAAACTTGGTAGTATTGTAGTATGGGATCTTACATTACCGGTGAAATTCCCAAAAGTCCCATTTTCTAATTTTAACCCCCCCAAACATCCAAAATGGCGGACCTCTGAAAACGAAAAAACAAGTTTTTTTAATCGGATGTAGCTCGAAAACAGTAAGAGATAGAAAGGATTTGAAAGAATCTTAGCGAAAGGAAATTAAATTTTCTACAAAGCCCTATACTGCGTTTTCCAAAAATCGCACTCCTTCAGCTTCAAAAAACGCCATACTTTTAAAATTTGATAAATTTCTTTCAAATTTTTACCGGTTTTCGCTATTTTTTCATACTTAAATAATTACTTTTCGCGAATATTATTATTGCTTTGTATTCTCCTTGGTTCTTGTATTCTCCTTACTTTAAATTCTACTCCTTTAATAATTTTTCGTATCTTTACTCCTTAACCCCCAAAACTTAGGTTTAATTTCAAAATTTGAAGGTTTTTTACCACTTTTACGAGCCCCATGTTATTCTTATGGAGAGTAAGATTAAAATATAATGACTTTGGTATGGTCATATGAATCGTTTAGAAACGTGCTAAAGACTTGGAATTTGGTACTATTGTAGTAAGGGATCATAAGTTTATGGCAAATTTTGCAAAAGTCCCATTTTTAAATTTTACCCACCTTAAAAATCCAAACTGGCGGACCTCTAAAAACGACAAAACACTTTTTTTTCAATCGCCTATAGCTCGAAAACAGTAAGAGATAGAAAAGATTTGAAAGGATTTTCATGAACGGGAATCAAATTTTCTACAAACCTTTATTAGGTGTTTCCCGCAAATCGCACTCCTTAACCTTCAAAAAACGCCCTACTTTCAAAATTTGGTAAATTTCTTTAAATTTTTACCGGTTTTCGCCATTTTTCATACTTAAATAATTTGTTTTTGCAAAAATTAATATTGCTTTGTATTCTCCTTACTTAACTTTAAATTTTAAACACTACGTGTTTTTTCGTAACTCTACTCCTTTACCCCCAAAACATAGGTTTAATGTCAAAATTTGGGCCCCCCCAATATTATTCCTACAGGTGCATCGGTCTAAATCAATTTTACCTACTTCTAGATTAGCTAGAGATCTGAAATTTTGTTCAATTGTAGGTCTTGCGCCATGGCCCATTTGTATTTACCCCCAACCAAAAAAGGGGGCCTGGGGGCGTCGTATTTTCACCCCCCCATTTTAAATCCTCCCCCCCCCTAATGTTATTCTTACAGGTGCATAAGTCAAAATCATGTTTACCCATTTCTAGATAAACTGGATTTCTGAAATTTGACATGATTGTTGATCTTCCGCCCTTTTCGAAAATTGACATTTTACAAATATAACTCCTACCCCCCACGAAAATTATAATCCCCCCAATGTTATTCCTACAGGTGCATCGGTCTAAATAAATTTTACCCACTTCTAGATTAGCTAAAGATCTGAAATTTGGCTCAATTGCAGGTCTTGTGCCATGGCTCATTTCTATTTACCCCCAACCAAAAAAGGGGGCCTGGGGGCGGAGCCCCCAGCGAGCCAAAGGCGAGTATTTATTTATACAGTTAAATGATAATCGGTGGTACGAGTACTTCAATTTTTTTATACTTAATTTGTCTAGGATATGAAAATGACAATTCAATGGTAAAAATAAAGGCCTTGCCACTGATATTTACGATTAAGAAATACAAGTTACCAGAAATACAGTAAGAAGGAACAAGAAAGTAAGTCAGTTTTTTATGTTTTGTGTATTAATAAGAAATAAAACAAATCTATCGTTGCGTATTTTTAATAAGATAGGAAATTCATGATTGTTTGGTATCAAAGTAAAGCTTGTACGAATTGCCAACATTACGAAACATATAATAAAAAGCATGAGTTTGCAATAAAATACTGATGTGAGGTAAGATAAAATGTTGTTGTATTTTTATTAAAATGCCAAAATGTAGATCCAATTCATTTATAACAAATTACAAAATGCACTACGATAATTTACTACTTCACGAAACATTCCTAACTCCTGACTTTTTGCTGTTGTTAATATAGGTAAGTTGCAGTATTTTATTTTCTATACGCTTTAGTTTATCTTTAATTAATTGACTATATTTTTTAGGAATTTTATTGACTTTGATTATTTTTAATACCTGTGTGGAATCTATTAAACAATTATTGGTATATTTTGAATACCGTAAATTAAATGATAACATTTTGTAATCATCTAATTTTAGCGGGTTAATTATATGTAAAATATATTTACTATATAATTATTTCTTTATTACTTAATTATGTGTTTTGATATTTTAGGTTGCAGTATTAGACACACTAAATAATTTGTGAGATGAACCTATTTGTCTTAAATCCCATAGTTTACAGTGGCAGTGTTTATGTAAAAGACATTTTCATCACTCCTTATTTGAAAAAGAGCCCATGTCCATACACCTGATCTCTTCGAAAATCTTCAATTTCTATACACCAAAAACAACTAGTGATCAGCTAGATTTTCCTTGCATAAACATTGCCCTACCTTCACTACACAACCAATACTTTGCCTGACATCAACAAAGTTACAATTAGCTGAATTTTACACTAAAATTAATTGTACAGCCGTATTGTGTTTATATTAGAAATATGAATTGATTACGAAATGTCAGAAATTTTTTTAAGTTTGATTAAGTAGTTTTTTTCATTGTGATAAAAAGTATCGTGCAATACTCGTCACGAACGCCCCTAGTGTTTTACATGCGAGTAGGTAGTGAAATATACTATTTAATTACAAAGGTATTATTTTCCTCCAGTATTTAGCCTGAAGTCTATTAGTTACACAGAGGGTCTTTACGACGTCTATCTCAACCCCTGTCCACTGGCCACCCACAAAACCCCACTTAGTCCACAACTATAGCGACGTGCGTCCGCTACGGAAACGCAACAGCAGCGCCGAGCGCGCCGGGCAAAACGCGTTATTGCCATTAATAAAATACGCGCTCAGGGGTGGGGAGAGTGGACGATTTTTTAAAAGTTTTCAGGAGCGCTGGTGGGGAGAGCGGGGAGGGGATGCGCACAAGGAGTGCGCGCGGACCCGATCCATGCCGCGGCACTAAATGGATTCAAAGAGTTTTTTAGCTTTCAGTACCCGTTTGAAATGGGTTGAAGGCAGATCCGTACCGGAGGTTATTTTTTGTTACGCTTTAAGTTTATGAGTTGTCGGGACCGGCGTGGAGGGGGAAGAAGGAGAGTCGAGGGGAATTTTCCGGACTGGGATTTTTCGGATTTTGGTTTAATTCCGGTCCGTGGTACGTAGTGAGCGGTGAGCGGTGCAAGTGGACTGTGTGTGTACAAGTACAGGGTGTATGTACAGGGTGTACGGTGTACGTGTACGTGAACCCTACCCAGCTACTAGGGGGAGGAGATAGGCAAGGCTGTCTGATCGATCGTCTACATCTCAGATGCAGTGTTCCTGACCGTCGTCTCCACAGGTATTGTCTCTGCTAATCTTATCCTAATTACACATAAGGCACTTGACATTCGATAAATACTCTTATACTCTATTATTAATTTCATTTATTAACTCTTATCAAATTAGGGAGTACCCTAGCAAATATAATTTATTCAATTACTATTAGTATCAAAACAACGTGTAAAATAGTGTTGCAGTTTAGAGAAGTTTGAAAGTTTTTCCCGCGCGCCAAATGAAAAAGCGAGCAACTCGTGGGGTTTTCCGATACCACCCCCTCTTTTCTTTGCCGCCCGCTCGCCGCATTTTGTTTGACCCCTTTGCCCTGGAACCTCACCGCCCTTCTGTGTGATAAGTCGTGCACCGCACTTGTCAAAGACGCAAGATGTTGCAAGATTGCAGTCATGTGTCAATACAAAGATTACAAAACTATGCATTTAACTGTGGGCGTACCACAAGTATATAAACAGAGTTTAAATTTGATAAAGAATATTTTTAATCACTCTAAAATTAAATATAATTTAATCAATCAATTTGGGCTTGTCCTTGATTTACTCGCTGTTAAAAATTCCGAACACACTTAAATTATTGATTTAATTTGGCAAAGATGTATTTAATAAATGAGTCTAGGGTATCTACAAAATATTCGTTTTGATAGTATTAATAATATGCTTTTAATAATGTACCTATACTATAAGTGTAATATTTTTAAAAGTATGGTTATTTAGCATAGGCTAATGCTTTATAATATAAAACACATCCGATCACTTTACCTTAGGACAATTCTTTTGTAAATTTCATTTCTCTATGAAGTAATTATAGACCAACCAAAGTCGTTTGCAAAGAATTCCACAATAGTATAATTAATTACAACTAATTTGAGTTAATTAATTGCCGAGATTCCCTTCAAATTACAAGGTTCGACCGCAAGCAAGTAAGTTGTACGGCTTTTCTTTGTAATGAAAGGTTGTTAAAAGAAATCACTCAATTCTCGAGTGGTGAGCACCAATTATAAATTCAATTCTCAGGTTTCTGTTGTATGGAGTCTGTTAATGTTCTTAGGGTTTATAATTTCACGATTTAGACAGATCTATTGGAAATATTAAATAGTATTACGTTATTCCTACATAAAATATTACTATATCGTCTTTCACATATACTTTCGTATCATAATCTATAAATTAATTTCGCTGGTCAAAAATATAAAATATAATATCGCGTTTTAAATTCTAACACAAATTTACTTTGCTTTACAATTTGCGTTGTAAACCAAATGTTTTACCATGATTTACGGAATGGTTCAAACTTTTTTACCAACAATCCAACAAATAATGTAATCTTTAATATAACACTGATGGTTTTTACGTTTCCCACAAATGTAAATTAACGCACAAGACGTCACCGTCACGCGTCACCCAAGCTGTAACGCTAACGTAACGCTCCGGTTTACACAATACGGACGTTTCGATCGTGATGCTGCTGTCGTCACCATTTGCATTACACGACCGGTTCGTGCCACCGTCTAATACGGGAATAATTCACATCGACATAAACTATGAGCTCCTAATTATATACAAGAGCATCGGGAGCATCTCGCCCACGAACGACACGACCGGCAGAACAAATCTGTCTGTCGCCGAACCGGAACTCGCTACACTGTCACAGTTTCTCGCAAATAAAGTGAAAGATTGTAGGGTTTAATACAACCAAGAAATAATTTGTAACTGTAGGTGATGGAAATCTGTCGCTCAACTAGATTTTTAAATTTTAATGGCTAAATATACATTGACCTTGAGTTAACTATGTCACTTTGCCATATTATAAAATACATTTAGTGTATATTTCCTCCACACAAAAAAAGAACAAAAAACTTTAGGCTACAATTATTTTATGTGTTGTAAGTAATCAACTATTATAAGTACACATTAACTAGGACTATGGTGTTGAAACTCTAATATAGATAAGTGATTTAATTTGGTAAATAATAGATAGTCCGATTATAAAAATTAAATACCCCCGCCGCAGCAAACCTGCAGACTAAGCGAATTTCCATTTGCCTGATTTGATTTTCAATTAAATCTATTCAAATAACATTAGGTTTAACGAGTACCTAGGTTTGCTGCCTACAGGGTAATAAAGTGTGTTTTTCAGTAAAATATTAACAGCTTAGTATAAAATAAATCGATTGGCCAAGTTTGATCCAAATATATGCATAAACAAGCAAACTACAAAAGTTTACTTATTCTCCATAAGAATAACATGGGAATTTTTAATTTATAATTTTCTCCGTAACCAATAACCATACAAAAACACTTCAATATACTGAATTATTTGTTTTTTTTAAGCTCTTCAAAATGGTCTAGAAGAAATTTGGGCAATTTTATGTTTTGAGGGTCAAAAATGAGAAAAACCAATTTTTACCCCATAAATCCCCCCATAAAACCCCGTTCCCATTGTCCGATCATGCTACCTCGCGAACTCGTTCGAATAAACGTAGGTTTACACGTTTGTACCAAATTTAATCAAAATCGGATCATTTTTGCTCGAGTCATCGTGCTGACGGACACATATATATATAAATATATATATATATATATATATATATATATATGAATTTGAACGGATGGTGTTTTTGGCTTCTAGGAACATCAAAATGAAAAAGTAAATCGGTCCCGGGACTAAGTCTTACCATGAGACCTACGGTAATACCTTATTCCCTATAGGGAAATTCGCTAAAACGGGGGACAAATATAATTTCAATAAGCCAGCACTAGTCCATTTCCTAAATACGTATAAATATTTTGTTCTTCATAAAATATAAGAATTCACATCCCTACATGCGTTAAACCAATATAATATGTAAACTAATCCAATGCTTAAGCCGTAGGGTTGCAACTATCAATAGCTCTTTTAGATGTGCGAACTGTAAACATTGGCTTGATACTACAAATCATTTTAAGTGACGTGTGTATTTTCCGTATTGATGTTTCGTAGATTTAAATAGGTTGAAATGAATCGGGGTTTGTACAATAGTTTAACTCGCGGTATTTTTGGACTGATGAAGAGATATTACTAAGCATTTTTGTAGTTTTAATTAGCTAAAAAATGTTTAGAAATATAGTGTAGGATAAATCTGTTTGCGATAAAGCTGCCACTAGTCATTTCGCTTCTTAAGGAACTACTTGAGGAGAAAGTACGGCGCCAATTTTTCAACTTACCATAACAGTTTACAAACAGGTCAATGGCTTAGAAAAACAGCAATCTCGGTAGAAACTCAAGAACGATCAGCTAATAGAGAAATAAGGTGTGAAAAGTTGAGCCTAGGGGTTACACGCGATAATGGTCAGTCGGTACACGTCGAGACCGGTACATTAGGTTCAGATTTGCATACCACGATTTTCAGCTAAACTGGACTAGAAATACATTGGCCTCGATTATTTTGTGTGGTGTTTTATCACATTTAAGATAAAAAGGCTTTTCTGTCAGATATTTCGCAACACTAAGCCCAGTTTGCATTATTAGTTAGATCAGCGGTTTTTATGGATATTTGTCATACAGTTTTAATTATGGGCCACTTAAGATAAGATATAATTCATCCGCTGGGTTTAGATTGGTTGAGTCAAACTTAATAGTGTCGTTTACCGTTCAATAAGTGAAAATAATGTAGTTTCAGCCAAACTTGAAATTCAGTGGATAATTTTTATAAAGGTATTAATATAAAACGGTAGTTTATAGACATATTCTGTTTTTACCTATTATAAAAATGTGTTAGTTAAATTTCAAATATAATTACGTCAATTGTTGTGTACTACCTAATGAATTATTTTCAAATAATTCTCAAGCAAACTATTTACGAATTACATGTTCCGGTACTGTAGTTTAAAAATCTGAAAGATCCTCTAATAAACAAGCTAACAACTAAACTATTACAAAATGATAATACCTTATCCATAATAATCGTGTAGGCTAACAACAACTTACGGACAACTTACAAATACAACCTATGCAATAGTATGGTAAAATAATCTATAAATTAAATTAAAACGAGACTAAATAACTTTCTATATTTTGACCCAAAGAACAAATTTTGAAATATTTTTCTTAAGTTCTACATTGTAGTGTTAATGTTTAATAATACAAAAACAGTTTATGTATTATCAGTGTCAGCGATGCTATCGGTTGTGATAAGAAAACGCCGTTCTGTCAGAAGTCACAGTAGTTTCTGTCAAACAGTGCCCCGCTGTATGATTTGAGTTCGTTTGTGTTTCGCCAAATTGCGCACATATGTAAAAACTGGTAAACGACCTCATTGATTCGGTCGAAAGTTTATCCGAAATCGTGTTTCTTTCGCTATAGATTGTGGTGTTTACGTGATTTCCTCAATTATATTTTCACACTCAACTCAAATGTTTTAATTCAAAAGTAACTATTTGAATTTTGAATTAAAATCTTTGAAGATGTTCATTTCTCAACATTTTTCTGTTTGATTTATTTTGATCAATTATATTACTGTCACTCGCATGATTAAAGTTTGTTTCATTCATGAGATAAAAATAAAGTTTATCTCTATGATCTGACATAAAAAGAAACCTGTTTAATTTTTTTTATAAGAACATTTAGACAATTTAAGTAAGTAAAACTCTGTAAAAAGTACAATATAATATGAATCATTATCATAGGAAGATGGATGATACGTTTCATCGTCTGATGTTAATCTCAATATCAAGCCAATAACTTATTTAGTTCACATCAGCTCTAATTTAATCTATGTCCGGAACATGCAATTCCCACGTGCTAAAGCCAACGAGATAAGGCTAAAATATATCAAATCCCCATGATGAAAATGTTGTAGAATGAGTTAATTTTGTGGATTCCACACTATCCCAGTATATACGTCACCATTTAACGATGTAAAATAGTTATTTGTGTATAATGTTTATATTCGTTAGTTGGAAATGTACGGTATTTTATTTATTTGTTTTACATTATAGAGTACTGTATTAATATGTAAAACCTGGCATT